GGGAGGTTTAGATTGGATATTAGGAAAAATTTCTTCAAGGAAAGGGTTATCCAGCATTGGAACAGGCTGCCCAGGGAAGTGGTTGAGGCACCATCCCTGGAGGTGTTCAAAAGACGGGTTGACATGGTCCTCAAGAATATGGTTTAGTGTTGTGGTTTTTTGGGTTTTTTTTTATTGCTTATTTCTTATTTATTTTTTTGTCAGAGTTAGGTTGATGGTTGGACTAGATGATCTTTAAGGTCCCTTCCAACCTAGACGATTCTATGATTCTATGATTAATAGACAGAAATGATGGAGTTCTCATAACAAGCAGAAAAGAGTGTCCTGCCTTTGGGTTATAATGATACGTATTCCTGTTCTCTGGATAAATTCTATGGTGATACAGAATCCTATTCAAACAATAATTTGGACAACTGTTAAATATAGCTGCTTAGGTTACATATATTGAAGTTCATCTAAAAAAAACAGTTAAAAATGAAGGAGCAGAGAGAACTTTGAACCAATTATATTGATTTCTCATGAATCTTGGAGGGCTATAAGGAAACAGTTCCTGTGCCAATCTTTGAAAAGAATAACTAGGACAATGCAGGTAATTATGGACTTGTCAGTTTGATATCAGTGAAGTGAAAAATGATGGAATAGCATTCAGCTTATCAAGAATTAAATGTGAGAAGTATGTTATAATGAATGCCTATGAGTTTACTGAAAATAGATCTTGACAAGCTAATACCAAAAAAAAAGGAAATTCAGGTTTCACAGGTGAAGGTGATTTTATTGAAATTCTGTAGATCGTGTAGTCTGCAATGCAAAAAAAACCCAGTGTAATTGCTGGATAAGTTAGAACATGACCAAGGTACACATTAAAGAATTAAAATCTGGCTAGCTGGCAGGTTACTAAACATCAGCACTGAATAAATGTATTTCAAACAAGGCGTCATGAAGATCACTTGTTCGATGTACTGTGATTAGTCACCTAAAAGAAAACAGAAAAATCACTTCTGATAAATATATCTTGATGACACAGAGAAAAATGGAGTGGTAAATAATGAGGTGTTAAAGGATGTATAGACAGATGAATCTTGTGTAGGAATAGAATGACTTGAGTAACTCAGTATTTTACAGCTGCTGCAGCTGCTTTTGCTTACTGTGACTTAAAGGTGACTACTTCTGCACTGGAAAGAACCTGTAGAAGTTCCATGAAGGTGATGAAAGGACTTGGGAAAGAAAAACTCTTTCTCATGAATGAGTATCTCAGTTTACTTTGTTTAATAAAGAGAAGATAAAGGAGTGAATCTGTCTGAAGTGGAAGCGCCTTAGAGGAATTAGCTGCTCAGCAGGCAGCTTCACAGAGACAGAGATTTCAGACCTTCCCATGTTTTTTGTAGTAAAAGTGGAGAATTCCACTTGTCTTCCAAAGCTGGGAACCTTCTGTGCTCCCAGGGCCTCTACTGTTCCTGCAGAGGTGGTTGCTGCAGATGTTGGTCCTCTCATTCCTCAGGTTTCTTGAAGTATCTAGATCAGAGGCCTGTCAGTGTGTACATCAAGTTGAGGACTGCTTGTCTCTTGAAGCTTTTTGTATTTATCTCCAGTTGAATGACCTCTGCCACTTTGCCACTTTCTCTTGATATGAACACATTCTGCATAGCATCTTTGCAGTCAGCTTTTAATTTACCACTTCAAACAGCTTTGTCTCATCAGCAGACTTTCATACTATGCTATTTTTATGTGTTCTGTATGATTTGTGAGTATTTTCAACAGCATCAGCCCTAGCACATCTTGCTGTAAGGTTGTGTGAGTGACCTCACCCTCATTCTGTAGGTGAGAACTGACTGTTTATTCCTGCCTTTTGCTTTCTGATCTTTAATCTAATTATTTGAGTGCATAAGAGGACTTTCTATAGCAGCTTAGTTCCCTAAAAAGCCATTGGGAAGGGATTTTGTTGAAGGCTTCCTAAAAATCCTCCTAGACTCTGTTGACTGCCTCATTCTTTTATGTGCTCATTGGTTCAAAGAAGGATTTGGG